TGCTTATCAAAATGGACTTTAAGAAATGTAAAGAAGTCTTTTTTATTTTGTATTGTTTGTGGTTCTTTTTGTTTGTTTTTCCTTATGTCTTTTTCTCTTTGTTGTTGTTTTTTACTTCTGCACCGTTTGTCTTGTGTGTAAGTTTATCTGATTTGGGAGGTGAAGTGGAAGCACAGAAAAATGGTGGGACAAAGGCTCAACAAATTCAGCAGTGATACTAGACACTATGTTGGAAATGAACTATCCAACTTGGGTGGGAGAGGGAGCTTAGGAAGGAAAAAACTGGGAAAAAATGAGAGAGGGATGACACTGTTCAAAAAGAAATGTACTCATTACCTGACTTATGTAACTGCAACCCCTCTGTATATCCCTTTTACAATAAAAATAAATAAAAAAGGAATTCATTAATTATTCTTTTTCTATGAAAAATATTTTATTCCTTCTTAATGGGACCTAATACATCTAGGTAGGCCCAAGTGAGCTATCACCAACCAGATGGGAAGAAGCATCCAAAGATTGGTTAACAGTATAAGCTCAAAGCAAGGTGATGGAATAGGAACTTGACACAAATTAGATATTTTCTAGACTATACTTCAGAATGTTGTAGTGACATAAAAGTAAAAACAACAAAACTAATCCTAATAGCAAAGGTATTTCTACTAATATTATTACCTCAGCTCATTCTTTGATTCTTACGACAATGATCTAAATTCAGTATGATATATTTTCTCTTTTTGTGGGGTGCCAGTTCTATGGTTTGAACTTAGGGCCTTGGTGCTGTCTCTGAGCTTTTTGCTTAAGGCTAGCACTCTACCACTTCAGCCACAGCTCCACTTGAAGTTTTTTGGTGGTTAACTGGAGATAAGAGTCACAAGTTTTCCTGTTGGGGCTAGCTTAAAACCATGATTCTTAGATCTCAGCCTCCTGAGTAGTTAGGATTACAGGCATGAGCCACAGGCACCTGGCATATTTATTATTTTTGAAGCCTAAACTGTTCCATCTATCTCAGGCCCCTCAGAGGGCATTCTAGGGGACATTCACATGCACTTGACCACTACTCTCAATGTATTCCATCAGCAAACTAAGGAAGAAAATATATAGAGAATTTTGCTTTGAATGATAGTAAAGCATACTGAATTTTATTGATTGTTCTTTTCATTTTATTCTCCACAAACACTTTTCTTAAGCTTAGAAAAACTTTTAGGAACAAAAATCTTTTTCTTCTAGTTTTTTGGTAGTACTAGAGTTTAGAACTTGGGGCTTACTACTTGCTAGACAAGCATCCTACTTCTTGAGTCAGCTCTATAAACAATAATCAAATGAAAAATTCAATTTTTCAAGTGGAAAATAATTTATATCACTTTTTATTTCTTTCTTCTACCCTCTTCCTAAATAATAGAGGCAGTCTGAATTTTCCTTTTTTCATTTAAGAATATCTATAACTATTCAAGGTTTAAAAATGTAGATATTAGGCTGGACATACCTATAATCCCTGCTCCTCAGGAGTCAAAGATTGGAAGGATCATTCCAGGGATAAAGTTAGTGAGACTCCATATCAATCAATAAGCTAATAATGGTGTTTCACAGGTGTACATCCAGCTAGGAGGAGGATGGTCTGAGGCTGATTCCCCAGGGAAAAATGCAATATTCCACTTTGAAAATAGATAAAGCAAACAAGGTTTTGAAGTATATAGTTCAAGTGGTAGAGAATCTACCTGATAAGCTTGAGGTCCTTAGTTCAAAACCCAGCACCAAAAACATTAATAATTTTTTGGCACTAAATACTCTGTAAATATGTCATAATACATCAAACAGAGACCAAACAGGAATTAGGACATAGCAGTCCTGTAATTGCATCTATAGAACCATACAATGAGCTGATGGCTCTCTGTGCTTGCCAGGATTCAGGGGCCCACCAAGTCTGGCTATAGGTGAATCTAGACTCTTGCATACAGGAACAAGCCTATACACATTCTCTGTCTCATCTCTAAAATAAGCACACCAACTAGAAGAGTGTTATGAGGACTGAATGAGTTAACAAAAACCATTAAAAAAAAAGCTAGGCATTGATGGTTCATACCTGTAATACTAGCTACTAAGGAGGCTGAGATTTGAGAATCACAGTTCAAAACCATCCCAGGTAGGAAAGTCCAAAAGACTCTTATCTCCAATCAACAACCAAAAAACTAGAAGTGTTGTTATTGATCAAAGTGGTAGAATGCTAGCCTTGAGCAAAAGATTTCAGGGACAGTACCCAGCCTCAGAGTTCAAGTCGCATGACCAGTCCCCCCCCCCAAAAAAAAATTCATAAACACTGGCCATCATTATTTAGGTAAATGGCATACAACTTTGGAAAATCGTTTCCCCTCAGAAAATAAGAAAAGTAAAATAGTTCCTAAAGAGAAAATGTTTTGCCTTTACTCTATAAACAGTCACTCTATATTGTACACCCATATTTTAACGTACAAGTTTCCAAAGCATTACTTTAATAATGAAATATATAGCCAAGGTCTCCAGGTCCTGTGAGGTCCAGCCTCTGTACCTCTTCCCATTCCCTGGGAGTCAGCTAACACATCTATAAACCTTCCTAATCAATACATGAGCTGCTCTGAAAAACAGCCAGTATTGATCTGTCTGCTCAACATAACACCAAATAGCTAAGGAAACAGGCCCACATTTAAAGTTTATTTTGGAGCTATGTATAATGACCTTGCCTGAAGTCCTCGTACTCAGGAAACTAAGTAGTAGAGTATTTCCAATCTGAGGACAACTCAGGCTACATAGTAAGACTTAGTCTCAAAAAAAAAGTGTGTGGGGGGGAGCTGAGGATGCATTTATTGATAGAATACTTACATGGGCAAGGCCCTAATACCACAACAAAGAAATACAATTTTCATTTGAGGAACCTTGAGAGGTATAGATCAAATCTTCCAAAATGATGAACCTCCAACAAAGGAGGGATACTCAGAAAATGTTCTCTAGGCCTTTTAGAAAGCATGGAATTCATTTGGACACTTCCACATGAACTACAGGAAAATAGTATTGTAATGCATAAAGGAAATAGGTACTTTTCATAAAAGAATGGTTGCTAAATATTATTAGAGGAAATCTGAAGAGAATCTTATTTCCACAGTGTTACCTAAACAAGGGTAAGGTTCTTGTCAAGAAAATTAATCTGTATACTAAGCTCTAATAGCCAAGATAACTTCCTGAAACTTGTGAAGAAAAATGATCAGAAGCAGAAGAAAGCCACCCCCACCAAAACAACAACAACAAAATTCCAATAAACACAGTAGAAAGGATTCAATTAAGTGTCAGCCTGCTCTGTCCAGAGAAGCACATTTTGTGAGAACCAGTGGCTGGGACTTATTCTCTATAAATTCATAACAAAATTGATATAAAAATATTAAGACCTCTAAAATGCTTTACTAATTTAGTAGAAATGTGGTATACTCTCTCATAAATATCTACAGCAAATCTGGAGGCATACAAAAAAAGAATGTATCAGACTATATTACAAATACAGTCTGAATAAGTTCAGAAGTATGTATAAGTTCAGAGGCAGATGGAAGGGGACTGTCATGTGTGTGTGGTGGGTATGTGTTGGAGATGATGTAGGATATATGTCTTACTCTGGACTACATTTACAAAACTCTGAAAGACACTGGCTTAATAAAGAACCCTCCAAGTCAGATGTTGCACAATAAGTCTTGGATGAACTATGAGACACTCTGTAGAGAGCTCATCAGATACGATGAAAACAGTCATCTTTTGGAACACCGTATATGATGATGCCTGGTGGGAAAAAACATTCAGTTTTCAGAGATCTTCAAATCTGTAGTTTGGCTGGTGTGTGTGTGTGTGTGTGTGTGTGTGTGTGTGTGTGTGTGTGTGTGTGTGTATTTGTGCACACATGCACATGACTGCATATAGTCCTAAGTCCTCTACACATGTAAGGGTGTATAATCTATAAACAGAGATAATTTCACTTATTCTTTACAATTTGAATGCTGTTTCTTTTTGTTGTTGTTGGTCATGAGGCTTGATTATTTCTTTTCTTGACAAAGTACAAAGTACTTCGATTATAGAGGCAGAAAGTGAAATGGTAGCTGCCAGAGTGGGTGTAGGGAAAAAGAGAGACTAAGAGGTACCCAAATTTGCTAATACAAATATGTCCTATGATCTAATGTGAGTTTAATGCCTATAGTTAAACATATCGAACTGTACACTAATTTTCTCTAAGAATGATGATCATACTGGGCCAGTGGCTCATGCCTGTAATCCTAGCTACTCAGGTGGCTGAGATCTGAGGATCATAGTTCAAAGCCAGCCTGAGCAGGAAAGTCTGTGAGACTCTTTTTTGTTTATTTGTTTGGGGTTTTTATTTGGTGGTTCATGTTTCCTGAACTCTGGGCCTGGGCGCTATCCCTGAGCTCTTCAGATCAAGGCTAGTGCTCTACTACTTGAGCCACAGTGCCACTTCTAGCTTTTTCTGCTTTTGTGGTGCTAAGGAATTGAACCCAGGGCCTTATGCCTGCAAGGCAAGCACTCTACTATTGAACCACCTTCCCAGACCCTCTGTATAAACTGAGAGTATCTCCAATAAACCACTAGCAAACTGGAAGTGCCACTGTGGCTCAAGCAGTAGAACGCTTACCTTGAGCTGAAGAGTGCAGGGACAGCACCCAAGCTCAGAGTTCGAGCCCCACACTGACAAAAAAAAAAAAGAGAATGATGATCATATGCTAAGTATTCTTATTATGAAAATTATAACCACAATGAGTGGTAAGAAATCATAATGAAATTTTTGGAGGTGAAGGAAGGTTTATGGCACAGGTTATGACAAAGGTTTGATGGTTATATACTAACATTCAAACTTCAAGTTGAAAACATGAATTATATACTGCTTCTTAGTATGTAAAAAAAGATAGAGAAAATTCATCAAATGTAAAAATAATTTTTACCTGGAAAGTTACCTCAGAAGTCTGTGCAAACCTTACCTGAAAGTGTCTTTTGGTAAGAACCATATTGAATTCTCCACAAAGAAATGGCAGATCTTTCTCTATTCTGCAATCCACTGAGTCTTTCTGCCAGGCCACCTCTGTTTGATAATCACAGTGTATTTAGTTAAAAGAGATGCTGTAAAATGATCAGAACACTTACACTTTATATCCATCCCAAACAAGAAAAAGACAAAAGCACTCAAAATTTAGACATTATTAAATATTACATTCTCTTTTCTAGGAGCCAAATCTCTTCAGTTGATAGCCTTCTTACTATATCCTACTTCTTATAAATATGACTGGCATTATTTCTTAAGCATATCATATTCTTAGAAGTATAAGTTAAATACAAGTTTAACTCCCTTTCTATTCTTAGTTCATTTATTCATTCCATAAATATGCACTTCTTACTTGCTATCTGCTACAACCTTAGCATTTAGCACTTTGCTAAGTACAAATATTACAAGGTTGCTGTATGTCATGATGGGAGTTAGGGAGGGTGGGCCTCTTCTTGGCCTCAGCAGTTGAAGGAAAAAAATAAATTAAAATATAAAGTGTGTTCAGAGTTCCAGTCAAGAATAATCTTCATAAGCTGTTTGGTAGATACAACACTCAAGTAAGAACATTGAGGTATGACTTCTTATATAAACTGTAAGTATCAATTACAAACACTCAAGAAAAGTTCCATTGATAATAGGAAGGGAACTCCAATACTTGCAATAAATACATATAAATATATACGTTCACTGATGTGTTTTCAAATACATAAGTCAGCGGCTATAATTCTAGCTCCACAGGAAGCTAAGATCTGAGGATTGCATTTTAAATCTAGTTTAGGCAGGAAAGTTGAAAGTCTGTAAGACTCTTATCATCAATTAAATCACAGAAAAAGTAAGAAGTAGCTCTGTGGCTCAAGTGGTAAGAGTACTAGCCTTGTGAAAAGGCACTCAGAGACAGTGGCCAGGCCCAAAGTTCAAGCCTTGAGACTCACAAAAAACTCAAAAACCAAAAAACAAACATTAAAATAAAATTAGAAATACAGCACACACACACACACACACACCCCGAAACAAGAGAGTGTGTCGGTATGGGTGTCAGCAGCTCCAAACAAATCTATGATCCCAAGAAAAATGATTAGCCCTGAAAGCTACACATTTTATCTGTGTTTCAGATTATGAACCAGTTCATTATTCATTACATCATCTCAAATAATATCTTTTCTAGGTAGAAAGAACAGGTATCAGTACTTACCTCACAGATAATAAAATAAGAGCAAAAAGAGAGATTAAAGAATTTCTCTAGATTATGAAGGAGCCAACCTGCCAAGAAATGCTGTTACTTGTTTGTTTGAGCCAATACCAAGGCTTAAACTTTGGGGGCTTGTGTAGCTGACATTTGGCCACTTGCGCTATGCCTCTACTCTCAGCCTGTTTTGCCAGATGATTGGAGATGATATCTTGTGGGCTTTTAGGCTGGGCTAACAACACTCCTCCTGAGTAGCTACAATTATGAGTTGACACCTGGTTTGTTATTGTTTTTATTATAGCCTTTACTTTTACTTATGTTCTTTCCACTATGAAAATCTTATCTAATACAAATTTGTATATATTATCACTACTGCCTACTGTTTTCCTATAGATACTGCTTACTTAATGTATGGGTAGTATATATAATACAAAATTTTAAAAGTACTCTCATTCTCATAAATATGGTAAAGAACACCAACTTTACATACATATTCAATTAATGTATAATCTTTTCTTCAAATCATTCTAGTGCACAAAGTAACTCATTTATATTCCTCCTTTACATTATATTATAAAAGCTACTATTACTCCATTTACTAAGATGTTAAAACATCTGTCTAAGGTAAGCTGTCTTAATTTCTGGCAAATCTGCATGTACAACCAGGCAATCTATCTCCATGCTCTCATTTTCTCAAAGTATACTATTTAGTATTATAATATAACAAATACACAAAAAGGCAAACACTACATTCTTTGCATTATGTCCAGATAATTCTTCGCTAATTTTGATTCTCAATGCTATTGAATCTAAATACTTTACAGAGGTTACAGCTAAGTCTAGAACCACATAAGAAAACTGTAGGAAATATAAGATAAAAAGCAAAAATAAGTAAACATGTACCAAGGGAGGATCTGAGTCCTCAAATAAAACCTACATCTCTGGCTAAGTGCCAGTGGCTCATACTCTATCTCTAGCTACTTGAAATGCAGGAGGTTCATGGGTAGAGGCCATCTGGAAGAAAAAAGTTCTCAAGCTCCATCTCTACCAACAATCAAGTACAAGTGACTTGTACTTGTCATTTTAGCTACATGAAAGGCTGAAATGGTCGGTCAAGATTTCAGGCCAGACTAGACAAAAAAGTCCACAAGACTCAATCTCAAAAACTAGTACATGATTGTCATTCCAGCTATGGCAGAAAGTATAAATAGGAGGACTGTGGTCCAGGTAAGTCCCAGCAAAAAGTGACATCCCATTTCAAAATCAGCTAGAGCAAAAAATACTGCAGGCATGTCTCAAGTGGTAGAGTACCTGGGGTAGAGTACCTGCTTAGCAAGTGTGAAACTTCCAAACGCCAACACACACACACACACACACACACACACACACACACACACACACACGTCTACTAGCCTTTCTTCCCTGGACTTCCTCACATGATTCCTCTTTCTGTGTCTCCATTTGCTCTAAAATACTTCTGTCCTATTCTCCCCAACCCATCCAGAAGCTGGCTCTCTTCCATGACATAAGTTGCTAGCCTATTCATCCTCTCAAACCCATATTCAAAACAAGACTAGGGCCTTGGTCCCATCCATGAACGATGGATTCCTTTTTCTACCACCTCTCAACAGGCATACTTTGCCTTCTTTTCATGTGGGGCTAATATCAATATATCCAATGTATTCCTCAGGACCATATTTGCTTTCTACTGAGATTTCTTTTCCTAATAATTCTCTACTACTCTCTGTCTCACTTTCCATCTTGTGACATTCTTGTGACATTCGTTCTCAGTTAATTGCTTTATTTGGGGGAGGATACTGTTTTGTTCTTTAACAAAGAAAGACACCTTGTATGACACAAGGTTGGGATGGTCCTTAATAAACTTTTTTTTAAAGGTTTTAAAAATTTTTTTTACTGTGAAAATATTGTACAGAGGGGTTACAATTACATGGGCAAGATAATGAGTACATTTCTTATCAAGCATTGTAGCCTCCTCTTTTGTTTCCCCTTCCCATCCCATCCTCTCCACCCCCTCCCCACCCAACCCTCCTCCCCCGTCCCCAAAGTTGACTTGTATGTCTCATTGTTGCAATGGGGCCTCCTGTATCCCTATTTAAACGATTTGTTTTTTCCCTTCCCCTCCACAAATTACAACAACATCAAATACTTTTTCACACATCTTGGTTGGCTCATTAAGGCCACTCTAGTGACAACTTCCTTGCATTTGAAGTGCTACCCTAGCCAATCTGTTCCATTATGTTCACAAAAAGTAATCTGATAGTATTTGTTTTTATTTCTATTTCTCTACCTTTAAAATATCAGAATGCTCCATTTGGGTGAACAGTTTCATATATAAGCTTCAATAATTGCTTGTCAGAATTATATTCTTACATGCCAATTTCTTCCCCATTAAACAAGTATTTTAAATTAACATTTCAGATATTTGGATTCTTAAGGAGAAAAGCTAGGGTAGCATACTCACCTGACAAGTTTTTTATTCTTTGCTGAACTTTCTGGAGTCTTGGGAGACTTGGCTATCTGTTTCTGGGGTGTACATAAGATGGGCTCTGTTGATGTCACACTTGAACCTGTAAGTCCATCTGCAGCCTGTCTCACATTGGATCCAAAATCCATATGGTATTTGTAAGGAGATTCTGAATTAATAACCAAGACATTCTCTGGGTCATCTTCTTTGTCACTATCTGATGAATATTCCAAAATTTCTGTAGAAGTTGCCTGAAAAAATTAAGAGAAATGCAATTAAATATACTTTATTCATGTATACATGCCTCTCATTCTATTTCCTTATGATTAATATTCTTCAAATCAGTTTTTTAAATATAGTATCTGGGGCCTAGGCCTCTGTTTTGACATAAAATCCCACTAATTACTCTGGCTTTAAATCTTTCCCAACAGAAATTGTTTTTGATCTCGACCGTCCCATCCTTGTTCCTACCCTTTACTAGCAGGCTAGCTTAAGTGAGTTACTTAACTTCCCCAGGCTTTTGTTCCATCTTCAAATTGAAGATACAGCTATTCCTTCTATAAACTGACATTTTACAACATACCTCCACATCTATTTTTAGATATTTTACATTTTATTTATTTTTCCTGTAAAGATTTTTTTCTTGATTTCGAAGGACAATGAGAAATACTGTAAATAATATCTTCTATGAGCAATCAAAACCTTGTCTTAACCATCTAAGCAAATCATATATTCTTTCAGTAGATATTTTTTTTAAACAAAACCAAGGCACAATTAGCACCTTCAGGAAAAGATAATTGGAAGTTAGTTCCCCTCAAGCCCAAGACTTCTGATGAAAGTGAAGGGTCTCTTACATGGACACAGAGAGTATCTACAGGCTCATAAACATCAGCTGTCTTGGCCTAACTGTGGAGAACATGTACTTTCAAAAAGGATGGTGATTGGGAACAGATATGTGTGTGACAGAGTGGAAGGAAGAGGACAGATTCAAAACTAAATCAGAAGTATGTAGAGGTTCATATGTTCAAGTTGATATTTCATCCCTACACTGTAGGATTAGAATAATGAAAAAAGGAAGTCCCATGAATTTAGGTAAGAAACATTTTTGAACCCAGCTGGGCTATTTTGTGACTTCAGGATAATTTTTTATGTGTGGTTCTGATTATGTGTGTGTGTGTGTGTGTGTGTGTTTGTGTGTGTGTGATAGAGAGAGAGTGTGTGTGTGATAGAGAGAGAGAGACAGACAGAGAGAGAGAGAGAGAGAGAGACAGACAGACAGACAGACAGACAGACTAGGATATCAACAAAGAGCCTTGCTAGGCTGATGTTCTCCTATTTGTGCCATTCCTCTAGCTCTTCTTTTTGCTGGTTATTTTGGAGATAACAGTCTTATGAACTTTTCTGTTTGGACTGATCACTTTTCCTAAGTAGCTGGACAAAGGATTGATTCCTACATTTCTTACTTTAATCATCCAAAATTGAAAAAAGCCTTCAAGAAATATTTCAAGAATTAGAGATGACTATTATGAAATATGCTAAGCAGATAGAAACAAAGAATTTATAATCCATGTACTCATAACCCGAACTTTCTTTCAGAAATTTTAAAAAGGTATATGTGAAATTTCCTGACTCTCTTTCTGTGCTTATCTTCCTATTTGAGCTAATTGTTGTTAAGTCTGCCTGGGAGAATAGGTCCCTTCCCTAGTCCTTCTCTTTGTGAAGGACAGCATATAGACTTACCAAAAATCACTGCCAGAAACCAGTAATCACTTGTAACTGTTAATCATCTGTGTGTCAGTAAATTGGCCCCTAAATCTGAGGTCATTTCTGTATTTGCTGCAGTCACACCTCCTCTTCACCTTTCCCTATATAATCTCTTTCCACTTTTAGTTGAGCTGCTACACGCTGTGTGCTACCCTCTACATGCTACTCTCAAGTGCAGGCTGGAGGTTTGGTTCTCCTAATAAACTGTCTTCTGCCTGAACCACATGGTGGTCTTCTTTCAGCAACTGTTAAAATTGTCTCCTGACTTTAGCATTTCATAAGAACTTGTTTAAAAGTATTTTAAAATCACACATACAGCATTATTTTCATAGAACAGGACAACTGTAAATCATTAATCTTCATTGATATGTAGTATTCCAGAGCCAGAGTCTACAAATGCTATTCACCTATTTCAGTGTTGGTAGACATAGGCATTAACAAATTTTCACATTACAACAGTAATGTAGTACATATTCACTAGACTTGCTTCACTAGGCATACATATGTCCTTCTCTGTGGTATATTCCAACTTAGTGAGGCTACTGGATGATCCATTCATTGCAGTTTAGCCAGTAATTGTAAAATGGCTCTGTAGAGTCACTGCACTGACAAACACATTCTTCAGTGGCATTTGAATCTTGTGCAAAAGTCAGTATCACTGTGTATTTTTAGACTATTAAATTTACGGCTATGGTACTTTATCCAATAAAATATTATGCAACCATTAAAAAGAATTTGGTAGGATTACATATGCTTGAAAAGACACAGAAAACTAAAAAAGCAGGGCATATACATTAAGACTTTATGGGTACAAAAAAACGAAGAAGTACAGAGAAATGTATGTACACATACTCTTACCTGTTCAACATTCTTTAAGACTTTAAAAGACATTTAACTATGATACTTCTAGGTGAAGAGTGATTTTTTTAAACCATTAATCACTGTCCTAATAGGATTTTCCACATATTTTTATTAATGTTTTCATTTACCTATTTAAAAGTTGGTACCTTAACATCCATTGAGAGGATCCATATATTCAACTTCCAAAAGAGAAAACAAAATCAAATATGTGAGAAAAGAAAGAGTGGGGGAGATTGGCAGGAAATGAGCAAGTAGGAAGGAAAGGACACATTATTCTAAGTAACTAGGCATGTTTGTTCTATATCAAAGTCAGTAGTGTAAGGATGACAGAAACATTTCTTCAGCTGTCTGAATGAACACAAATGTATCAATTGTCATGACTTGTGTTAGTAACAGAATGGTTTACCAAAGTGTCTAACACCAGTGGCCTTCAGCTCCAGGCATCTGAAAGAAGTGAAAGGAAGGAGTAAAAGGAGGGGACAGCAGGAGCCCTGAGGACAAGCCAAACTTTCTTTCAAACTGTGCCCCTCAGAGATGGCCAAACCCCTGCCAAGGAATGCCAAATCTACTAGTTGCTGCATTTCTTTGTATTTCAAGAGTAGGTAAAGACATATGAATTTTAAGTGGACTTGCCTGATTTAAAAATGTCAGCCATTAATGGAAAAAATATTTTTAAGTACCACTTATAGGGAATATTTTCTGTCCAAATCTTACTTAAATGTTAAAGAAAGGAAAGAAAATATGAGAAAAGAATAAAAAAGACAGTCTCTGCCTCTTGCCTACCTCAGGAGTTGAGAACCTCCTATTCTATCTGCTCCCACTGCTATGATGCTCTGCCAAAGACCTAGGGCTAAGTGACCATGAACTGGACCCTCTGAAATCATTCTGGAGCTACTACTGAGAACAGTGTGCTGGTATACTGCTGTGGCCTATGCAGCTTCTTTTAGCTGACCAATCAGGATGGGCAGGTCCTCAGGTGAGGATCATTAGCGATGACATTCAATCCAATCTGTGAGCAATGAAGGTTCCAGAGCTGAGCATCACAGAAAACACTCAAGACAGCTGGGAGAGCACTGGAGGCAATAGCACCACATTATTTAAAGTCCACCTGCAAACTTTAAACATATTTTTATAGTTTCCCCTAAGTGACTTTTTCTTTCATAAAACTTTACCACAGAACAAGACTCTTTCAGGCAGCCTGGGAGGTTTGGGGCCACAGCCACCCTGGTGCATGCAGGTGGCAAAATGGATAACTAAAAGCTTCTAGCTTGCTAGAAAGCTGTCCCCTTTGTGGGGTAAAGGGACAGTGCATGTTTGCAGTGTGTAATCTTCCCATCACTACAGATAAAACAGAAGTCTCTTTTCAGGAAAAGTTTGATGAAAGGTAAAGTTGAAGCATTCTGTTTAAGCTGGGCACTGGTGGCTCATAACTATAATCCTAGCTACTCAGGAGGTTGAGATCTGAGTATTGCAGTTTGAAGCCAGCCAGGGTAGTAAAGTCTGTGAGACTCTTATCTTCAATAAACTTCTCAGAGAAAGCCAGAAACGGCACTGTGGCTCAAGTGGTAGGAGCTCGCTTTCAGCAAAAGCACCTCAGAGACAACACCCAGTTCAAGACCCAAAACCAGCACAAAAAACAAAACAAAACAAAAACCAACCAAACAAACTGAAACCATTGTTTAAGCAAAACAAGTTTACAGAATGTACAGAATATTTTTCTGTTTAAAAAAACCCACAGCTTTTTAAGGTTTTTATTTTAATAGGTTTAATGCTCATTTTCTAAGACTTAACTATTACAAATTGTAGCACAAATAATAAAGTGTGCAAAGTGACTAAGAATGTTTTGTGTGTGCATATGTATATGCTAAAAATATATGAAATTATATATCATGCATATATTATACATGTACACAATTTATGTATTATGTATAACATATAGATGTATTAATATATTATATATAAGATCATACATGATTTTATAATTAAGCATATTTATAATATATATTAATATATAATAGAAATATAAAGAAATGCAGTTACTATTAATATAGATGTAATATATACATAGTACATATAATGTCTCCAAATTGCTAACCCTGGACATGACGTCAAATTAGTATGAGTTTCCAGGTCATCACTGAGGGCTGGCTGTGGTCCTGTTCTGTGCTTTCCAGTCCCTTTAGTGAAGCCCCTCTGCTAACACCTCACAGAGTTCCTAATAGGTTTGGAGGGCTTTGCTTCCCTTGTCCTGTCCTGCTATATTATGTTTGCTATATCATCTGATATAATACTTAAAATATTGCTTTTCTGTTTTCAAAAAAGGTTTTTTTATTAATATTATTATTAGTAATAAAATAAAGGTGATGTATGGAGAGGTTAGTTTCTAAGTCAGGTAATGAGTATGTTTCCTTTAAAGACAAAGTCATCCTCCTTTCCCTCTCTCCAGTTTTCCTTTTCTGTCCCTGATCACAAGTTTTTTTTTTTTAATTGTGAAAATACTGTACAGAGGGGTTACAATTACATGGGTAAGATAATGAGTACATTTCTTATCAAGCATTGTAGCCTCCTCCTTTGTTTCCCCTTCCCATCCCTTCCCTTCCTTCCCCTGTTCCCCCCCCCCCCGCAC